TTTAGAGGACCAGCCTCGAAATGCTCTCAGCGGTATCAAAAAAGCCAATCGCTCTCGCGGTGCCACTCGTCATCGGTTGAGGAGAGTGTATTTGCAGTATTGGTGATTAATATGCTTCGGATTCGGCAAAAAAGTGGGATTTGGAGTTTCCATTTTGTTCAGAATTTGGTTGAATCATTTACTTGCGTCAATAGTTATCTTTTTTTTTTGTAGAAACCAAAGTTGTGCGATCTGAGCAAAGCAATGATTTTTCTAAGGCTAGTAAAAAAAATACTGTAAATATCAACATAATTTTTCACAAAAGTACTTTACATGACAATTATTTATTTAAAAAAAAACTAAGAATATTTTGGACAGTTCTTTTTAATTAAAATTCGTAATTTGTGCTTAAAATTTCTACGTTTTGTAAATACACAAAGGTTGTCGAACTGAAACACCAGCTTAGGGAATCGAAACCAATTTTCAACGTATCTTTTTTTTCAAATGACTATTCAATATAAGTTTTACTAAAACAGCAAATTGGTTAGTTTTTTTCAATCACCTACTAGATTTTCAGCATCATTTTAAAACCACAAAAAAAGTGTTTAAAACTTAAATAAAAAAAATACCCTCTACCCCCAATATATTTTTAGTATCTCTCAATGAAAAGCTTATGAACAATGCTAACTTTTGTGAAAATTTCAAGTTGGACACTTAACAATAAACAAAAATCCTTGAACAACTACTTTTGGAGATATTTTTGAACTTTTTGTAAAAAAAACATTGTTTTAATGAAATTTTGCACCACAAATGATTTTAAAAGTCTTCTTTCGTTTTCTGAGCAACATTTAAAAAAATACAGGGGAACTTACGTTTTCTCATCAATCTACAGGGTGATTCAGAATAACTGTCACCGATTTCACAAATGTGTAATTTCCTCAATGGGTAAAATGCAAGGGGTAATCAACTCTGCACATTGTGCCGAAACACATCGTGGCACACTGATCGCCGCGTCATGGCACACGATGACAAGTACGACACAAAATATAATATAAAATGGCATCACTGTGTTGTGTTGACATTTTGCCAATCGTTGCTAAGGTTTACTTTTCGTTTACTTCAAAGTAAGGGGGAAAGGGATTTTTTTTTGTCAGTGACATTTTCCAGCGAAATTGTCCCAATCATAATAAGAGATTGTATAATTGACGAGACTCTCTGGGGGATGAACCGCTACAGAAAGGCCACACGGCTTTTGAGAGATGTCCATAGTTTCAGGGAAGTCACCACGCCCCGCAGAATAGGCCAGAATTAACTAGACTTAACGGACCGAGAGTCAATTCTAGATAGAGCTGGAGTTAAGGCGTAACAGCTTTTGTAAACAATGACTTCTCTAGATGATTTCTAGAAATCCAAGGCTCGCCCACTCAAATCAACGTCACCATCGGGTAGAGGAAGACTTCCCCTTCCCGTTGGTTATGTTGGTTGGCGTGGGGGTGACTTGAGTTTCGAGAAATCATCGAGAGAAGTCATTGTTTACAAAAGCTGTTACGGCCTAATTCCAGCTCTATCAAGAATTGTATAGGTAAGGATCATTGCAGCGATAATGTACGGTGTCAAAAACACCCCAGTGCCGAACGATCCTACGCCCAGATGTATCTGCAATCGCAGCTGTTTCTCCCGCAGAACACCCCGGTACGATAGATGGTTCACCAATTAGTCAGCCGTATAGCTCATTCTATGGACTGAACTCGGATTTGATTGACTGTGGAGGTCTCTTTACGCTCTTTTGCAACTGTTCGTATCACCGATGGCAACAGTAACATCAATAATCAATACGAAACTAACGATTTTAAATTGGCTCGCTACTTGACTAGCCTATTGGTCCCTAGCAAATCGATTACGTACCCCATTCTAGTCAAAATTCTAGTACTACACTATGTTTGTTTTGATTAGCTATGAAAGTTTGACAGATAAAATGAGGGGTTAGTGAATTTTCCTATGTTTCGAGGGGTGAATCGATTAGCTTTGGACCAAAGATAGTACCAGAGCTGGGCCAAAAAGTTGAGCTCGTTTCATCGGGACCTTCTGGTCTTAGAGTTACCTCTATGGTAACATCATAGAGGTAACTCTAAGACCAGAAGGTCCCCTTTTTGGCTCAGCTCTGGTACTATCTCTGGTCCCATGCTAATCGATGCACCCCTCGAAACATAGGAAAATCCACGAACCCCTCATTTTATCTGTCAAACTTTCATAGCGAATCAAAACAAACATAGTGTAGTACTAGAATTTCGACTTGAATGGGGTACGTTAATCAATTTGCTTGGGACCAATAGGCTAGTCAAGTAGTGAGCCAATTTAATATTATTAGTTTCCACCGGCTGCTACTACCGCCGGTGGGCATTTTAGGTCGTTTTCAGATTGTAGAATTGCCCGAGTAGCATGATGATATTGCAGACATGATTCATCTTCCACTTGCCGGTTGGGTAGTTGGTTTCGAAAAACGTCTGCCAGAACTACGCACGGTAGAGAACTGGCTTCTCCTGGATGGACAGCTTCAGCCATCAGTCACCCTTCTCCTTCTCGCGGAGGGGCTTCGAGTGCCACTTCCTTGAAGCGGATGACCGGCAACTAGCTCGTTGAATATTATCCCGACTTTTTTCCGTCCTTGACTTGAAAATGTAAACACACAATCTCAAAAGTCATAAGTGCAGGGTTGCCAAACTCATGGGTTACTGAGACTGATAGCTTGATTGCCTCACTTCGGCACGTTCAGCAAAACGCTTGACCTAGCTTTCGGCACAGATAAAGTACTCGGCACAGATTGGGATCCCAAGTAACCAAAAGTTCTGATAAAAGGCTATTTGTGGCCCGTTCACATTACAGCGTATATCACGTGATATACGCTGTCTTGCAATGAGCACTAATACACCTAGTTTTCACTGGAAATGTTATGTGCTCATTGCAAGACAGCCTATATTACGTGATATAGGCTGTAATGTAAACGGGGTATTAAGCAGCTTGGTTGAAGGTGGTCTATAGAATGCTAAGCAGCCTCATTTTTAAATCGTTATAAGAACTTGAAAGTTCCGGTACCATAATTGAAGAGCATTCTAAGCAGCTTCTGGCGGAACTTGAACGGAACTTTTAGAAAATAAATTAAAAATGGTTTTTGTCCTCTACACCAATTCTATATTTAGTTCGCTTTTTATGAAAGTTATTTCTAAGTGCGTTAGTGGTAGAATTGGAGCTGTTTGAAGAATTAAACCCAGTCCTTCTCATCTGAGATATATTAAAGTGAGCTGTTGTCTCAAATACTGTTGAATATGAAACACAACACCTTGATGCATTTTAAATTGGTGTTTGCCCGCATGGTATTCCAACACACTAGCAATCGTAGATCGCATGCCGATGGGTTCGAATCCAGGAAATTACTCTTTAATTTTTTTTATGATTGGATAGAATGTTGATGCACTGGATAAATATAAGAATTATGATTTATTTGAGCTACTGATTATTTCATATTTACGAACATTAAATTTTGTTACTTATAAAGACTTATGCTTCATGTGGCTTGAAAGTTCTGTCAAAACTTTATTCGAACTTTATGGAACTTGAAAGTTCTGTCGGATCTTTATTTGAACTTTGTGGAACTTGAAGGTTCGGTCGGAACTTCATTTGAACTTTATGGAACTTGGAAGTGATCTTAATCGTTGAATGGGGTATCCCTTGGTAAAATGAGCATATGATTAAGTATTTTTGTTTTAAAGTGCGTACAAATATCAGCATGGTTCGATAGTGCATTTCGATTTCAAGCAGCCATGGACGGGAAAATGGAGCATTTAATAAATCTGGATAAATTCGTGTGTTATCTTTTAGAAACTGAAACCTCTTCGAAAGAATGAAACATTTATTTTTCGCATCATTATAGAGGTAAAAAGGAACCATGCGTGGAAAATGCGTTCACTATCAGAGCTTAGACGCATCGCCAGGACTCCAAAAGTGCTGGAATTAAAACGTGCGTGCCAGCTGTGGTTCATTTGGTGGAGATTTTAATAAAAGTATGCTAAGTTGAAGGTTATATCAAGAGCAAATTTTCATTACGTCGAATGTAACAAAGGTAAACAAAGTCGAGCTATCAGTGTCAATCGATGCTCCTGCTATTACACTATATACTGTCCGATTATAGGATCACATCCCATTTTTAAATTTATTTACCAGTCGAATTGCTTTTTGACGTAATCACCTTCCGATCAAAATAGTTTTCGATGTTACTTAAGTCACCCGATTTCTATGGAGATGCCGTTTGCCTTAAGTAACAGCACTGAGAAACTCGTGAAAAGTGTACTTTCGTCGTTTCGCTTTCTCATTATTAAAGTGAATAAATCGAACTATTTGTTGCTAAGATGATTTCGGTGGTCCTAAAATGTGGTAAATACACTTTGACTTAAGTAACAATAGGGGCCACCAAACGACGTATAATAACTTTTGACTCAAAAACCAGTATTTCTTAGCATGAAAACTAGCGATTTGAATTTGTTTGTTTAAAACCCAGCTAAATATGTTAAACATTGCTATCACTATGAGATTATATGTGTTTAATTGGAAGTAGGAATAACTTTTCGGTCATCAAAACAAAACTTTATTTTTCTCGGATCGGTGCGAATGTTACTTACGACATAATGAAAATTTGCTCTTGATGTAGTATATCTGGAATATACTGATATCAAAAAATCATGCAAGCGTTCAATCGTTATAACAATTTCTAAGGCTGTGAACCATTTGCCGAGTTAAATTTAACTCGTGGTTAAAAGTGACATTTCGAAAGTTATTTTCTATGTTCGAAAATCCCTGTGCTGTCGATCGACCGGTTTTCGAGAAGAACTTAGCCAAGGTTGTCAAAATTTAACTTGTTGTCTGTCAGAAGTAACCACGCTCGGATAGCAGGGTTAATCGATAACTTTCCATCTGTCAAATTTTAACCAAAAGTTAAAATAATCCACCAAATGGTTCAGAGCCTAAAAGTGACAGTTATTCCGAATCACCCTGTAAGCAGCGCCCGCACTTCTATTAGCAATGACTTAGCGTCACGCCCACACGTGGCGTGTTTGTTGGTTTACATTTATCTGCCGCTTGCTATTCTATACACCCAACTCCGGTAGTATAGTGGTAAGCGTGACTGCTTTCTCACTCCAATGGGTCTGAGTTCAATCCCAGCCGAGGTCGGTGGGATTTTTCTGAGGCATAAAAATCTCTGGTCACGTCTTCCTTCGGAAGGGAAGTAAAGCCGTTGGTCCCGGCCCATGTGTGTTTTAATGGGTGCGATATCCTACGCAGGTGTGGAAGCTGCCTTCCTCCACATTCGATTGCCGTCGATGGATGGCACTATAGTCGCTATATTAATAGTCTGGCGGATAGCATTTCGATCTATCAATAAGCGGAACTAATTCAATATATTGTAGACCAACAATTGAAAAGGTACTATCAACTTTTATTGACAAGACGTTGATTATTATTTCCTCGCCAATCGACCAGCAAATTAACAGCATCATCGGATAGGGAAAACTTTCTCCAACCCAAAGATGGTGTTAGTTTGCGTAGGCGAGCCTTGAGACACGAGAAAAGGGTTTCCGAAGCTTTGATCGCAATAGCTGATGTGCTCTTTTCTGTTGTTGGTCGTGATTTGCTCGATTGGTTCCGCTATTTGAAAGCTCAATTGGTTCCCGAGATTCTATCCGCCAGACTATGAATATAGCGACTATAATTGGCACCAGATTGCGGAACAGAGACCGACGTTAAATAAATGAAAGAAGAAGAAGAAGAAGAAGTTATTCTATCCATTACAATCGACAGAATTGTTCAAAACGTTTTTACAACGCTCCAAACTTCTCAGGCGAGTGTGACTATTGTCGGCAGCCTTTTTTTCTTCTTCGGCAACCTTTCCATTTGAACTGCGTCTTAACCAACTGTTCTATTATCGGCAAGTCGAAATCAATCGTATTTTGTAGTGCGTGTAGTTCATTAGAAGAAAAACCTGACATGACATGTTTTCTCAGTCGTAAACATGTAATCAGTTTGAAGCTGAAAGGCTGAGGAATCGTTTAAATACATTCAGCGAAGTGTTTTGGTGAGAAAATACAGCGAAATTAACGATCAAATTTTGGTTGCCGAAAACATTAAATGGGTGCCGAAGCCATCATTTAGCCTACTAAAAGTTCAAAAATTTGTCAATTCCATACAAACGGCTGAACAGTTATGATTTAATTAGCGTAGCGGTTTTTACACCAAAATAAAGTCGCAGTAGACTCAGTAGACTCTGTTCAAATTTAGTCAATTCAAAAACAAAATAGTCGAATAGGCTGTTTAAACAATGGCCTAAATCGCCAATTTGTCCCAAAATAACAATTGAGGCTTTATCACACTCTTCTAAACTATGATTTAGACTTGAATAGTGCTTTAAAACCTCAATGAAACTAGTCATGTTGGTAGTTCGAGCACGCAAACTAACCTCACCGGCAAATTTACGGTTGAAGTCATTGTTTGCCGGATTCACTTTCGCAAACATAGCAGGTCAAAAAACCTCACCGCAAATGTCCAGCAACCTTCCGGTATTATCCTAAGCCTAAATAAACGAAACGTTGAAAATTGGATCTTTTCCCCGAGCCTTTAGACTCAGTCGCACGTAAAACTTAACTCGAATTTGTGCTAAAAACTCGCTCCCACCGCAATCTTCCCGCAGAACCACTCGTTCGCGCTCGTGTTCCGAATTTGTCTCCTAGTCCTACAATCAAGTTCTTATAGTTTAAGCAAAAATCGACTGTTCGGCGTTCTCCTAATTAAACTCCTAAATATACATGACGATAATGATAACACAAAAATCAACAACACCTACTAATTCATCGGCGGTGCTAAGGAGAAAGGGTTCACTTCGCGGATTTAGTGACACCCTCTCCTCGTAGCATTCGCGTTATTTTCCACTTTTTTTTTTCCAAGATGATATATGATACATGGGGTTCCCTACCAATCTACATGTGTGCTGCTGCTTGTTTGTGTGTGTGTGTGTAATTTGAAGTACTCCAGCACCGCAGTACTGTTGGGGTGTTTTGATCAAAGGGTGCAATCACAAGCGAAATTAAAGTGACTTATCGGAGGTACTGATCGCTTTCCATAATTATTTCTTTTCGTGTGTTTCGTGTACTCTGCTGATTGGTTGAGAGAGGAAGAAGCTTGAATTTGCGGAACAATAAATCTTCAGTTCGAAAAACCGAGTCCTAACTTAGTGACGTAAAGAGACAACGAATTGGGCTGAAATATATAGTTCTTACTTTACAATGTTACAATTTTTGGTTGTTGTTTTTTTTTTTGTTTGGTAGAATTTATACTTCGCTTTGGATTTCTGGTAATTTATTACTTTCCTCTAGAGATTATTCTTGTTTGTTTGTGTATTTTGTGGTTCCTCTTGCTTACGATTAGTTGTTTTTTTTCTTGTTATATAAAAAATGTATGATTTTCGTTATATTAGTAAAGTTTAATTTAAATGTTTTGTTTAAAAAAAAAAAAAGTATCCCTACACAGCTTAGTTCCATACCCGCAGGAATGAGTCCCATGACCCGGTGGCGACGGCCATTCCGTTTTCCGTAACACCTAAACAGGAAACGCGATTATCGTGGCCTGCTAGGATGCCGGCCCGTTCCGCTTTCAATGTGTCCCACACGTTGCAGTTGAAGTCATCGTAGCCGGCGAGGAGCAGACGGCCCGATTTGGAGAACGCTACCGAGGTAATACCGCAGATGATGTTATCGTGGGAGTACATGGCCAGTTCCTGATCGGCACGTATATCGAACAGCCGACAGGTGGCGTCATCGGAACCGGTCGCAAACGCGTGCCCATTGGGGAAGAATGTGACGGCGTTGATATCGCTCTCGTGTCCCGGGAACGTCTGCTTGCACTGTCCCTCCCGGATGTCCCACAGCTTGGCGGAAGCGTCGCAAGCTCCGGAGACGAATACGCGGCACTGGGGCGCAAGGGACAGTGCCATCACGTCTCCGGTATGCCCGAGGAACGATGTACACTGCTGACCGGTTTCGATGTCCCACAGCCCACAGGACATGTCCCCGGAGCTGGTTACAATTTGAGTATCATCTAGGAATCGACAGCACGATAGGTATCCAGTGTGGCCGGGCAATTCTCGTGACACCCTTACGTTGCCTTCTCGGGTTTTGAGATTATAGATCGAGCAAATATTGTCCAATCCACCGCAGGCTACGAAGCTACCGGATGGCGCGTACGCACAGGTCATGACCCAGGACGATCGCAACGGGATCGCATGGACCTTGTTTGTCGTATGCGAGTCCCAAACGATCAGTTTACCGTCCTGCGACGCGGATACTAAATTTCTGGAGTCACAACCCCAGTGCATGGCATAGATCTTAGCTAAATGGCCCCGCAGGGTACGTCTGGTCCGCATCTGTATCCTACCGATCGGTTCCAGGCTGTTAGTCGCCTGGACCAACGATGTGTCACAGGCCACCTTCCGAGCATCCCGAATCGCATTCTTCAGCGTTTCCGCCTCCTGTCTAAGGGCATCCAACTCGTTCATTTCTGATCCTGTATCCTACGCGTATCCTACCTTAAGCTTCACTTACAAAATAGAGTCTACGTGTTCGTGTGACTAGCACTAATTACACAGATTGTGGAGTTGAAATTTAATAGTAATGAACACCTTCTTTTTTTGTGTCGGCTCACTACGTAAGCACTACTCACTATATGGATCCGCAATGGGGCGCTACGGGGATTCGATTTTCCTCTGCTTACTTGCCCTTTTCCCACCGACGTATCCTCACTGTTACGGTCTATCACTTGTCTCTATCTCGCTCGCACACTCTTTATTTCGGCCAACACCATTCGCATGGGGACTGCTCTGTGGCTCCTTATGTCTCGGTGGCAGCAGCAAACCGGTCCACCATCAATCCTAGGACCTAGAACGTCCAAAAGAACACAAACAAGAAATCCACACTTCAATCAAAAGTGTTCACCTCGCCCAATCCAATCACAAATTTACACACAAAATCCAAAACTATACCACACCAAAATAGACTACATATAGATCCAAAATATCACTCTGGAGAAAAACAGGAAAAAATTATAAATGGCCACTAACACCATACCACCACACCCTGAGAAAGAGAGCCGCCGTGTTGTGTCCGTACGGTAGCGCGTTTCGTTCTGCCCTACTACGAGTGCTCGGTCGTGCGTTTCGTGTCACGTTCTCTCCCTCTCTGTCTCGTACTCGAAACGGGTAGTTCCTTGCAGGGCACTTTTCCTCTCTGCGTGTGTGCGGCTCTGCTACTGCTGCTGCTGCTGCTGCTGCTAATGATGATGATCCTCGGCTTTACGGAATTTTCTTCACCTGTTCACAGACATACACACAAACACACACACACACATACAGGCACACACATTTTCACCGCCAGACGAACGATGTTTCAGCAGCCACCCATCCGAGAATTTCGTCAGATTCAAGAGACCCAATAACGATTCCACACAATGCATGAAAAAAAAACGGAAAACACAAAGATCCAGATTTAGTTTCACACCGGAGAAAACGGAAATCCCAATCCCATCCCGAACAATCCAACTTGCATAACGTACATGGACAACTATATTGGTTGGTTACACCTGGGTGTCTGGAAATCTTCCTACATCCGGAGACACATCCTTGGCACACACACTCGCTGCGCGTTAGACGGAGATTTCACATCCAAATCGGCTTTGATTCCAGATATCACCAGGAACCGCAGCAGCAGGGAGTGTACGATAACGTTTTAGGGCACCGCAATTTTCACAATTCGTTTTTTTTCTCTTCTTCGGAAACGATGATGATGAGTTTGAGTCTTTTCGTCGGTTTTCTACTGTGCCAGTGAAGGAGGACTTTTTGCTTCTTTGGAAAAACTATAATACCCGTCGTCGTCGTCGTCGTCGTCACGGGACGCATGCGCTCCGGCTCGGGACGACTTTGGGAAAAACGGCGAAAAGTCTGCCCGGTCCCGGTGCAAGGGAAATGCGGTGGTGGATTGTCACGTAGGGCCGTACGATCTTTCCATTCGACGACTGATTTGACTGCTCGGTTGGATGTGAAGTGCCATGCGTCTCCAGGAAGCCAGGAATCTACGCTTTTTTTTTGACTTAAAATGATCTTTATTTCTTGAATTTGTGTGGTTTACATTTATGATTTTTTCAAGTGACACAGATGCGTCTTTTCAACTTTAGTTCATTTGAGATTTTAATTATTATTTACAGTTACTAGTCCTATCAGGCCTATTTACAAGTATGACCACCTTGGTGGGATTGGTTTGATTTGAATTGGAAAAAGGAGACTACTTATAACTACTATTTACAACTACAACTAACCTACAACTACTATATACACCTAATTTACTATATACAAATTGCTTATCAAAGCATGTTCTGATAAATTACATTTTTCTGCAAATTTAGTCTTAATTTCGTTAATTCTTGAATCTATTTTGGCAATTCCTGCCTCTTCGTGTAAATTTGTTATTCTAGTGTCAAAAGGACGATCAAGTACCATCCTCAGCACTCTATTCTGAGCGACCTGAATTTTGTTCCTGTGAGTCTGTGCACATGATTCCCAAACCGGAGCTGCGTAGAGGATCGCAGGTGCTATGATTTGTTTGTAGACGGCCAGTTTGTTTACCCTTGAGAGGCGAGATCTGCGGCAAATCAGCGGATACAGACACCTAACCAAGGCAGAACACTTGACTACTGTTTTCTCTACATGCGAACGGAAGAGGAGCTTTTCATCGAACAACATCCCGAGATAGGTTACTTCGGCGGACCACTCAACCCTTGTGCCATCCATGATTACAGTACAAGATGGAGCCGGTTTCAGTTTCGGCGATTGCCGATGGAGGAACATGATCGCTTGTGTTTTGGAGGCATTGATTTTGATTTTCCACGTGGTGGCATAATCAGCAAAGCCGTTAAGGCATCGTTGAAGTTTGTTCGTTATTTCGCGAGGCATCCTTCCTTTGACGGCTATTGCGGTATCATCTGCGAACAGGAAGAACACGCAATCGTCTCTAAGGGGAGGAATGTCGGAAGTATAAATGCTGTAAAGCAAGGGGCCCAGCAGACTGCCTTGCGGGACTCCTGCTGGGATGGAAAACGTGTCTGAAAGACAACCATTCAACGATACCTTAAACGACCTTTGCTGGAGGTAGTTACGGGTGATTTTAATAAGATGTAAAGGAAAGTTGAAGTTACAAAGCTTGTACACAAGTCCATCATGCCAAACATTGTCAAACGCCTTTTCAACGTCTAACAAGGCCATGGCTGTGGACTTGGATACAGCTTTGTTACTTCGGATGTTATTCATCACCCGCACTAGCTGGTGATTGGTGGAGTGCCCCTTTCTGAACCCAAACTGTTCCCGAAGGAGAATGTTGTTTTCCTCGACAAACTTGAGCAAACGATTGAGAATGAGTTTCTCGAACAATTTGCTCAGCGCTGAAAGGAGGCTGATTGGTCTGTAGCTTGAAGACAATGTTGGATCCTTACCGGGTTTGCGGATTGGTATGATTTTTGCTACTTTCCAGATGCTTGGAAAGTAGTGCAGTTCCAAACATCTGTTGAAGATAGCGGTTAGGAGAGACTGCACTTTCATGCTGAGTCTCTTCAAGATCAAGTTGAATATACCGTCAAACCCGGGGGCCTTCATGTTCTTGGTGCATTTCAGCGCTGAGCAAATCTGTTGTACTGTAATTATATCCGCCGGAGGCACGACACAAGGGGAGGCATCTAGGTTTTGAATGCTTTGCGCAACCTGATTATCGAGTGGACTTTGGATAGTCGAGCCAAGCAAATGCGATGAAGCGACATGCTTGTCGATCGCATTTGCTTTCTCCTATGGGGTGATCGGCTTTTAGATCGTCATCATTTTCGACTCTGAGAGGTGGAACGGGTTTGGGATGAGTTTTCAGGACCTTGGCTACCTTCCAGAATGGTCTGGAGCGGTCGTCCAGATTCTGGACAACACGCCCGAAACTTTCATTTCGGAGTGAGTCCATTCTGGAAGCAATCTGCCTGTTCAGATCGGCCATTTCACGTTTTTTGCCCAGATCTCCAGTCCTCTGAAACTGGCGTCTACGAACATTTCTCAGGCGAATCAAAAGTTGGGTGTGGGAATCAATGGCAATAAACTTACCCCTCACAGGAACTCGTCGGACGCACGCCTCGTCAGCCACGGTTATGGCTTGGTGGAGTCCCTCCAACGCTCGGTGGATGTCCTCCACGGTGTCAAGCGGCGGGTTGTCGATGATGTGCCTGTCTACCACGCGTCCAAACTGGGCCCAGTTTATGCGATGGTAGTCCTTGCGCAGGCTTGAAGCAAGAGCCACGTTGCAGCCCAGTTCAGCCACCACCGGCTGGTGGTCGGAGCTGAGTTCGTTCAAGGCTACCGGCTTGGACAAGCCGATATTTGTCAGGAACAGGTCTAGCGTCGATGGGTTGCCCGCCGGTGAGATGAATGTTGGTTCATCCGAAAACCAAACGGAGTACAGCCCATGCTGTGAGTGGTCGAACAGGATACGACCGTTCTGGTTCTGCTGGTAGTTCCGCCAGGCCTCATGGCGAGCATTCAGATCTCCTCCAACTACGAAGCGGGAACCGGTACGGGTGATGGTGGACAGGTCTTTCTTGAATTTAGCCGCTAGTCCACTGCTGGCGGCACACTGTCGAGGGCAGTAGACGGCGATGAACTGCACGTATCCAGTCGACGACTCCACCTGCACACCAAGGGCCTCGATGATAGAGGTGCGGATATGGGACAGAGAGTGGTATTTTATTCCTTTCTTGACGACGACCGCAAAATCACCCCCCCCCCCTGGAGCTGGTGCGATCAAGCCGGATAATGTTGTGGTCAGGCAACCAGAAGCTGTCGCCGGACTTTAGATGGGTCTCGGTTAGAAGGCCCACGTTGATGCTGTGCTTGCGGAGGAAGTCGGCAAGCTCAATCTTTTTTGCTCTTACAGAGCAAGCATTCCAGGTGACGATAGTTAGCGGTTTAGACGCCATACTGGATGATGAACTTACCGAGCACTTGGATCTGTTCGGGCTTATTGCGGCACTTACGAAGAGCACCCGACATGTTGACGAAGATTTCCATCAGTTCATCCGCTGAGAACAGATCGGGGTTGTTGTTTTGCGCTGTTGGTTGTCTCCAGAATCCAGGGGGGATGGAGAGCTTTGGCCAACAGAATCACCGGAAGTTGCTTGAGTGGAATGCACCCGCGAATTCACTTGCCTTTGCTGAGGAGCACGAAGGGGCGGGAAATCCTCCGTCCGAAATGGCGGGACTTTGTCCTTCTTGCGTCCTGGTTGGTTGTTAGTTGCCGCCTGTTTTCGGATGCGTTTGAAGTCCTCGCGTTTGGAGCACTGTCTGTCGGAACCTTGCTGAGCACCACCACAGTTGGCGCATTTTAACGCCACGGCTCCATCCGCAGGGCAGTTGGAAGTGGCGTGTTCTTGAGCGCAGTTGCTACAGCGTGGCTTGATGTTGCAGTTGCGAGTGCCGTGTCCAAAGTTCAGAAATCGTTAGCACCGGGTCACATCGCGATGGCCTCCACGGCACGGCTCCCATAGTACGATTATGGAGTAGATTGAGCGGATTGCCTGCAGCGCATTCAGCGTCACCGTTCCCTTCTGGAAGTGCACCAGGAAAAGACAATCCGGGTACGTCTTCACGTTTTCGTCTCGCCTCGTCATCCGAAAGACAGCGATTAAGGCCAGCTTGTACCGGTCCTTGAGTTCTTCTTCGATCGCCTTGGGATCAACATCCGGTAGACCCCTGATGACTACCTTGAAGGGCTTTTCACCGGGAATGTCGTGCGTGAAGTATTCCGCATTGGAATCCTTCAGGAATTGGACTGCGATTTCGTATTCTGCTTTCGTCCGGAGCATCACCTTAGTGCCGATCCTGCTGATCTTGTACTCAGCTGCGATGCCCAGCGATGCGAAATCACCAATGAGCGTCTTGAGTGGCACTACCTTCACCACCAGTGGAGGAAGCTTGACTTTCACCGCACTCGGGCCGGCAGAATTCTCGGTTTCGACGGCATCGCCGAAATCACCGATGTCGCTGGCGTTCGTCGCGGTAACATCGTCGCGTCCGCTCGTACCATCGGACTGTCCTTGGTTCTTCTTCCTCTTTTTCGTCCGCTTCACCGGGACTGGGTTGGTATTTCCAACATCGATGGGCAGAGTAGCGTACCTATTTGAGGTAGGTACCGAGCTACCCTCACCACTGTTCTTCTTCTCCGCTTGGTCACGAAGTCGGCTCCGAGAGCGCTGTCTTCCCATCACGCGATGCGACCGACACTACTGACGACGCGACGTGCAGTATATCTGCGAACGTTTGTAACAAACTATAGATTTATCGAACAACTCGACAAAGCGAGCAAAGACCGAACTGAACTGCTTGACGTTCAAGCAGAGAATGATGAGCCAGGAATCTACGCGTGGATTGAAACTGCTATCTAGTGCTATCTAAGTGCGGTAAGTGCACCCCACACGACAGAAGCTTCGTGAATATTTCCATCAATATTTTCTTGGCAATAATTTCGTGGATCGGATCGAATATTCTGAGTCAAATCACAACCACTTTGACATTTTATATGGAAGAAGCAACAATTATTTTTAATATATTTTCGATGGAAGAAGCAACAATCTAGCATCTAATTCGACGAAGACGGCAGGAAACATTTGTGAAGCCGAGTTATTTACGAAAGAGAGTGTCGATGAAGAGAATCGATCGATGTAGATAGGACCTATTGAAAAGTGACACGAGATTTGTTTTCCGTGCTGAGCTCCAATGCTACCGACGCCAGAGAGGCAACTCCCACACCTGGACCCTACCAATCGACCCAT